TGAAGGCGGGAGGAGAAGGGGACAACAGAGGATGAGATGGTTGGGTGGTATCACCAACTCAATGGACATGAGTTTGAGCAAGCTCTGGAAGTTAGTGATGAACAGGGAAGCCTGAAATACTGCAGTCCATGGGGTTGCAAAGAGTCAGACAGGACTGAAGGACTGGACTGAACTGAGGAGAGGCCACGTATGGGATCTTGAGCCCATAGAGTGATTTGGAACCCAGTCTACCATGAATAAGATTTCTGACCTTGGGCAAATCACATAACATCTATGCTTCAGTTTCCTTATCTTCAAACAGGGATACAATAGTACACACCTCAGGGTTATTGGAATAATATACATTATAATTAATAAAACCTTAGAGCAACTGAAGTGTAGAGCAAAATCAGAAACACTTGAGGCTCTCATCAATAGCTGTTGCTATATCGATAAGGATCTTTACTATCATTTCAGTCAGGTCTCAGGAGGGGTAGTTGATAAATGCTCTTTTGCCTTCTAAAAAGGGGTTAAACATAATCAACATTTGCATTCTTTCTTTACCTCCCAGCACATGATAGTCACAAGAAAACCTCTCAATTTAAAGATCTGCTTAAAAAAAAAAAAAAAGACAACTGAGAACTGACAAGATTGAACGGATGGCACTCTCCTATTTCATGAGGATGAATATAAATTGGTAGTTTCTTTGCATAACAGTGTGGCTCTACGCATGAAAAATCTTTAGGTGTTGATACCCTCAGACCCAGTCATTCTACTTCCAGAAGTAGCTTAAAGAAATATTGTCAAATGAAGGCAAACTTTTCTATAAGAAAGGTTTCTTTGCACTATTATTTACATAAATAATTAGAAACAGCCTAAAAGTTCAACAGTCAGGGGACGACAGCCCTCAGCCACCGTGGGCAGAGCTTCAGGGATTGGGTGGGGTCGGAGGGACTTCAGGCCCTTGTGGGATAAAGGCTGTTGCAGAAGCTAGGAGGCTGTGGGCTGTAGGAGCTGCAGCATCAAGAAATTTATCAAAGCAGAGACTGGAGCGCAGGGAGCAAGACATCATTTCAGGATGAAAACACTCGTTTGTTAATAAACATATCTACGAACACATATTTTTATATTAAAAAGGCATAGGGCATAGTCACCACAAATGTGGGATGTAGATCGGAAAGACCAGGCTCTGGCACCAGCATGAAAACTTGGGCTGACCTAATTTTAGGTGAGTTTCAGGAGCCTGCATGTCATAGACAATGTATCAATATTAGTTATTACCAATTAGTACACACAAGTGTTCCCTCACGTAATTTCCAGAGTATCCCTTCCTATCTGTTCTTCTGTCTCTGGTTTTATTGCTCCTATAACTTCACAGATGGCTGTCTCCTGTCTGATTACCTTCTCCTTGGGCCGCAACAGGAGAGCAGGACTCTAACTCAGGGTGCAGACAGCAGTGGGAGGATGAGTGACTTTCCTTAACTAGTGGCCAGCAGAGCCCAGGGGACAGAGAATCATGCTGGGTTAAGTCCATGGTGGCACTGGTGGCCGTCCTCGTGGAAACCCCTGGAGACCAAACCCCTCACTGCTTCCTGCAGTCACTGCTCACTCATGATGGAGCCCACAGTCTGTTTTTCCTTCCCAAGGGTGAAGCCACACCTCCTTCCAGCCTGACGCAGACAAGGAGCTGAAAGGAGATTTCTGCTGCTGTCATGAACCCAAAAGACCTCTGGGACTGCTCAGGTAGTCAGCTGCCTCTTGTTTGGATGGTTCCTACTTATGACCCAGAACTGAGATGCTGCCAGCTATCTGAATTAACCTAGAGAAGAATCAGGAAGCGAATAGATAAGCATCCTCGAGTCCCGTGGAGTCCGAGGGGACTTCCCCTACCCTGGGGTCTGTCCCCATCGCTTACTTTCTGGCCCTTTTCTCTGGGAGCCACGGGTAACGCTGTCAGTTTCTCCCTCCCGGTCCCCCAGATCCCAGCTCATGACTCAGAGGTGAGGCCAGAACAGCCCACAGACAGAGGGGACAGCAGAGGGAGTCCCCGAGACCAGACAGGGCAGGGAGAGGAGGTCCCACAGCATCCCTGAAGCTTCTCCTGCCCTCTCTCTTGTCCGAGCCTCCTCCTGTTCCCAAACCCTGGGGCATCATCACAGAGGCTGTTTCCTCCAACTCTCACCCTGCCGCCTGCCCAGCTGCTCTGCAAGGATCAGCAGACCCTGAACTGAACCCCAGTCTGGCCTTTGTCACCTCCCCCTCATGTGACCTGGAGCACAGTTACCTGACCTCATCTGTAAAATGAGAAGAATATTTCCCTATGTTGTTATGAGGATGAAATGTAATGTGCTCTGTGGCCTGGGCCACACAGCAGGTCCTGATGAGTATGGTGCTGTCCCCTCTACCTAGAATGTGTTAGATCCAGGTGGAAAACTTCCCCTCCCCCAGAATCACCTCTCCCTCCATGCTGTGTCACCACACCCGCCCAGGGATCTCATATATAAGCATGTGCTTACCAGATCTGACACCTCGGGCAGGTTCTGGCTCTACTGATCTCAAACACCCCTGCAGACACCCAAGTGCTCTGTTATTTCCCCCACCCACCCACACCCCAATCAATAAATACACAGATTTAGTGCTCTGGGTTCCCTCCATATGAGACCTGGGTTCCTTTCATTCACTCTTTACTAAAACAGGAAAAAGAAAAAAAATTAACAACTCTTCATGCTGCAGGATAGACAGAGAGCGAATGAGCTGGTATCTCTTCCTCTTCAAATAAGGACACAAATCTTCTTGGATTAGGGCCCCACATTTATGACCTCATTTCACTGGAATTTCCACTTAAAGGCTCTATCTTCAATAGACTCACTGAGGTGGGGGTGAGGCTATGGCTTCAACATATGATTGGGGCGGTTGGACACAGTCCACCCACAACCCCAGGTGAATCCATCAAAAGTACCCCCAGATGACTGCTGCTCAGGAAGATTAATTTAACCACTTCATTCTCATTACCATTTACCATTTACATTATTGCATAATTTCTTCTGATCTTAGTCTTTTATCCACCTAGGGTAAAAACTTTTTTTGAGGATATCATTGAGTATATCCAGAAGAGAGTATGCAATGAATAGCTGCAAAACCTTCTCACTGAAGGCAAAACCTGCTCACTGAAGGCAAAACCCGGGAGAATTTTGTGACTGAGGGTGGTTTGTCCAGGTAACCTACACCGGTGCATCAGGAATGTTACCCACATCCCCACACCTCAGGCTAACTTCCTCCTGGCGGGCCTTCTCCAGGGGTCAGGGTGGAGCAGAGGGTCCAGGCTGGAGGACTAGAAGGCAGGCTCGGGCAGCAGGACCAGGACTAGAGTGAGGAAAGTGGGCCCCGAGGACACAGAACTGAACTGGCTGTGACCCTAGCAGAGGTCCCCTGAGTGGGAGGGGGGACATTTCTTCCCTCCCTGATGGGATCCGCTCAAGCTGGGCTAGAGGGGCCTGGGTGACCGTCTCTGCATACCCTGCCTGGGACCTGGCTTCTCCCTCCATGTGGGACCCTCTTCTGGTCTACGAGAAGCTGCCCTGACAGTGGAAGGCCATGTGGCTCAGTGAGCCCTCCAGGGTCACAGTGAGTGGCTGTGACTGTGTGTCATTTGAGGGATTCTGAGGAGCCTCACGCATCCCCACCCAAGAGGAAAACGCTTCCTCCACCAGCTGTGCAAGTGCCGGTCTCTTCAGGCTCAGCAACTCAGATAGATGTTTCCTAAAGTCTCTTGAATCTTTAGAGGTTTCATAAAGTTGCATACAGCCTTAGGTGAAGGTATGTGAAGCTGTCGCCAGGTAAGGTGTGAGTTAGGCTGGTGACCCCCGAGAGGTCAGGGATGCTGGGCACTGAAAGATGTCAGGATTCCAGTTACAGTTTATTGCAGAGCGGAATTCAGGTTCCCATCAGCTCCAGGACAGTCTGGGCAGGTTTCACACACGAAGCTTCCATTATCCTCAGGACAAGTTACTGTCCTGGATTCAGTGTGTGGCAGGACACACAGAGCCCGGCCCCCAGGGATGCTCACCCTGCTTAAAAACAAATTATAACGTTTTTAAAAAGTGTTCATTTTGCCTGAAATATAACATCAAATAAATTGGTGAGTTATCATAGGATGAGATTTCTGGAAGGCTCTGGATATGTGTACTATGTATTTTGCTTATTTGTGTAATGTCTACAGTCCTCAATTTGTGTTTCTCTTTGTATTGTGACAGTCTTTCTGTTTGGTTAGTTGCCAGTAAGTTGATTCGGTGTTAAAGAATGTTAAATGCATGATGACAAAAACCCTTTTGTGATGTTGAATGAGAATAGGACCAGGCTTCAGTCTTTTATTTATTATGGTGATGCTTTATTTGTCTATTACTGTTATTATTTCCAAGCTAAAAAATTAAAACCAAATTATTAATACCCTGACCTGTTGTCTCTGACTACTCCCAGAGGTCAGATTAATGCCCTAGTGTCCAACTCCTCTGGAGGTCAGTGCAGATATTACTTGACCCAAAGGCACCATCATGTGTCACTTTGTCAGACTGTCCAGTGGCCAAAGGCCCAGGCAGACAAGAACACTCCTATCAGCCAGAATATTCCAAGAGCTTAGGGACCACTTCCCAGTTGCCAAGGGCAAACAGCAGGTTGACTCCTCACTACAAACTAAGGCCCCACTTCTGTTAGCTTCTCTGTGGACTTTCCACCCTCCCAGTCCTTTGGAAGTGATGGTGTTGACCTGCCTCTGAGGCATCTTTATCAAATACCTCTCTTAAGACTATCTTAAAATGGCTTTTGCTTGTTTATTTCATGGATGAATAATGGAGTATCCATGAGGTACAAACATGTGTTTAATGTTGAAAATAATTTACATTTGCAAAATTCTTCCCTTGTGATTTATAATAAAATCTCTGTGGCTTATGCAGAATAGATCCATTGAGCTTACTTTACAGATAAGCAAATTGTCTTTCTTAATCCCTTGATGTTCCTTGTTACAGGAAAGAAGTGGAGGCATTATGTGAATTTCTGAATGAATTGAAGACAGACTTGGCTATGGAAGACCAAGAGAGATTCCAACGGGACCTGCTAGACAGGGAGAGGTTTATAAAGGAGTTTCCTCAAGTGAAAAAGGAGCTGGAAGAGAGCATAAGAAAGCTCTACGCACTTGCAGACAGGGTTGACAAGTCGCACAGGGACCGTACCATCTTCAAGGTGGCGGCCAACTCTACCAGCACTGTGTCTGGTGTTCTGAACATCCTTGGCCTGGCTCTGGCACCCGTGACAGCAGGGGGCAGTTTGGCACTCTCGACCACTGGGTTAGGGCTGGGAGCAGCAGCTGCTGTGACCACTATGTCCACCAGCATCGTGGAACACTTTAGTAGGTCATCAGCAGAAATGGAAGCCAGTGGCCTGTTGTCAACTAGCATCAAAGAAAATGTGTCTGTGGGAGCTCGATGTCTGTCTGCACTTGGGATAGCTTTTTCTACAGCGAAAGTCTACAAATCCATGCAAGGGATTAGGAAAAATGTCCACGCTGCAAAGCTGGTGAAAGACAACTCTCAGTTAGCAGCCCACGCTAAAAAGTTCACAAGCACTGGGCAAGTCTCCATCCAAACAAGCAAGGAGGTGAACGAAGCTTTCAAAGGCACAGTTCTGACAATGACCAAAAAGGCCCGGATCATTGCTGGAGGCTTTGCAGGAATCTCCCTTCTAGTGGATGTGGGCTTCCTGGTAAAAGAGTTAATGCACTTGCATGAGGGGGCAAAGACTGAGTTGGCTGAGAAGCTGAGGCAGCAGGCCAGGGAGCTGGAGAAGAAGTTGAAGGAGCTCATACAGACCTATGAGAGGCTGAAGGAAGGCCCGACTCCGCCACCCCCAAAGCAGTGCAGGAACGAGGGACACATGTGAGACCAGGGATCAGAACACCTTGTTGAGGGGAAAGGAGGGGGAGACAACACTGATGGAGCTGTGTGTTAGGAATCTGGCCTTTCTGTAGCTGAGCACAGCAGGGGAGGAGTGCATGCAGGGTGAAGATGGGGAGAGAGAAGGAAGGAGCCTGCAGCCTGGACTAAGGGAGGAGAGTGACAGGAGGGGAGACACCACTTATTTTGGACTAAAGAACACACTGGGGGCAGAACAGAGAGGCAGGGGAACTAGCAACGAGAGGCCAGGAATATGAAAGCGTTTAAAATGGGTGAGAGTCAAAGAGGAGCTTCTCCTGGGATCCAGGAGAAGCAGCCCGGGCTCCGCTATCGCGCTCCCCAGGCTTTGCTGTCCCAGCAGGAAGTCTCCCCCTGATGGTCTCTAGCCCTCCTTCTCCAGCATCAGCTCACCTTTGCTCCCAGCAGGTTTACCTTAATTAGGCAGGGACTTCTTGATGATAATGGTGGAGGTGGCAGTGATGACTACTCAGGGGGCGGAACATTTGTCGAGATGCAGGTGATATTTGGGACCAGGATACACTGAGTGACTAATGAAGACCCTATGAAATTCCAAATGCTGTGTGAAACAGAGGTTGATTAAAAAAAAAATCACAAAAGAAAGAAGAAATGACACCAGAAGGCAACAGCCGACCAAGGAACTGTGCGGTGTGTCAAGCAGATCACCAGCCTGCGGTGAGGAAAGGCCGCCTCTCAGACCCTCGGTTTCCTCTCCAGTGGTGGGTGGGGCTGGACAAGATACTCAGGTTCCTTGGTCTCCCCCCACCTTTTGTTCTCCAGATTCTGGTTCAATAAATATGAGCTGGTTCAGTGAGGCTTCCTTGCATTGATTGATGCGTTCAACGGGGCTCCAGATGCCTGACCTCCTTCCGCATGAGCCTGTCTCCCAGGGTCTCAGGGAGCACGTCCTCCACGGCTCCTCCTTCCTGCCCACTGGGCTCCCATCCAGTCATTTCCCTCAGACCCTGGAGCCCCCAGGCCCCATGGGACACCCTGGGGAGCCCGTGTCATATGACGGGCTGAGCACCGGGATACTCCTCCTCCAGCCCCGGGGCTGGATGGACACCAGGATGGACACGGGGCACCCGAGGGTGATTGAGAGCAGAGGGCTTGTGTGCAGGTGTGGGAGAGGGTCAGCCGTAAGCAGAGGGGCAGAGAGAGACAGCACATCCCTCATCCAGGCTGCCTTCATGTTTCACCAGGACTCCTGCAGGAGCTTCCCCTCTCCTCTTGGCCAGAGCCTGGACCCCAAAGGGTGAAGGTTGAGCTTTGGGACCTTGCTCTTTCTTATCATAAAAGAGAATAATTTGTTTGCTGGAGGTTCACAGGAATATCACGACCTGACATCAAGAAAAAAGGCTCTGACACCAAGAAGGTTGCAACAACTAACCAGGCCCCTTGCTTACCTTTCTCATGAAAGGGCTTTGCTGAGAGTTTCAGGGAGTTTGGGATTTTTAAGGCATGAGTCACCTGTCTCTTTGCATGGCCCTGCAATGAACCTTCTTCGGTTCCAAACTCCAACATTTTGGTATTGTTTGGCCTCACTGTGTGTTGGAAACATGGACTTCCATTCAATAAAACAGGCAGTCCAAAGTATTCTGCTGGAGCCTCAGGTCCCTTGAAGGCAGAGGTGGGCGCCAGGCTCACTACATCCCCCAGAGCAAGACTGGGGGGCTGGGAAAAGTGGGCAGGAAGGAGGGAAAGTCCATCCAAGGCCGTGTTCTGACCCGGTCACTCATCTGGGATTGCACCTACCATGACCTTCTGAGGAAACTTCATGGAATGGCCTCAGGCTCATCCTCTCCAGGGAGGAAAAGGGAGCATCTGGGTGTTGCTCTCACCACCCTGGGCCTGCTCCATGGGGCACCAACTCTCTGTGTTTCCATGTGAAGCATGTGAACACCAAACAGTTTCCCATCCCATGGTGACCCCTGTCTCAGGTGAGATCCCTGTGGTTCTGAGCAACAGAAACTGAGTCTGGCTAAGTGAGCACAGAAGAGGGCCCACTGGGGGCAACGGGGGCAGGTCAGAGAATGGAAAGAAGCCCCCAGACCTGCACATTTCAGGAAGGACAGGAAGCAGGACAGGTCCCCCAGCAGGAGCTCAGGGTCTGTCCCCTGAGGCCCCTGCCAGCAGGGGGCTTAGGTCCAGGCACCTAGAATCTCAGAGTCAAAATCCCAGGGCACAGAAGAGCTTGGGTTGGGAGACTGTATTCTTGGACCAATAGGTCAGGCTGAAGGATGAGAAGGATGAATAGGTAATAAGGACCTGACCCCTGGGGGTAAAGTCTCAGGTGAAGAGGCTCCAGATTGAGTGCTTCCTGGATGCACATGTGCCCTCTTCTCAGACCAACAAAATGACCCTCCTCACCCTGTTCTGGGTCCAAGCACCCCACATACAACAGTAAGTGCACCACCTTTCATACGGTTCGTCCTGTTCATGTTCATGGAGTTCTTGCAGCAAGAATACATTGGCCACCTGATGTGAAGAGACGAGTCACTGGAAAAGAACCTGATGCTGGGGGAGACTGAGGATTACTGGCTACTCTGGGCTCTGTCCTTGGGGCTTTTTCAGGCCAGAAGGGTAGCAGACTTATCAGAATTTCAGCCACTTTTATCCAACCAAGAACTGCAGCTGCCTTCAAGAGAAATCCACAAAAAATGACCATCTCACCCTTTGCCCATCATTCAATCTGTATTTGACTCCCCTCAAAATCTTCCTTCTCTGCTCCTTCTCCTGAGCCCTCGCATGGCGGTTTTGCACTCTGTACTTTAGTGTTCTGTACTTTGTACCAGGTCGAGAGTGTGTGGTTGTTGCCTGCAGGAGAGTCTGCTTGTCAGGAGCTTGTCTGAAATGATTTTTGAGCCTTACTTCCTTCGCTGACTTGTGTGATCTGAACAAGTCGCATCCCTGCCTTTGCCTGTATCCCTATCTACATAATAAAATAATAATTCTGCCCCTCCTCAAGAGAATCACATGATAAAAATGTAAATGATTTGCAAATGGCCAAGTGCTCTTCTGATAGAATCATACCCTTCACTCCTCCTGTCCTTCCACAAGCTCTCCTGGGTCCAGGGTGCCCTAAGACCTCTATACCAGGGAAGCAGGCCCTTATGGGGAGGGAGACCTTGGACCTCTGTGTTTCAGCCCCCCTCCCATCTCCTTCCCCTTGGACATAAATCAGAATGGCGAAGATCCCAACTTTAGAGTCAGACCTGTGTTTCTATTTTTCTTTACGTCTCTGACATCTCGGATAAGCCGTTTCCCTTTCCCTGACGAGCAAGGCTGCCCTTTGCCTTCCCACTGATGGGGAGACCCTTCTGCTGACACAGTGCCATTCAGAAGGCTCATGTGGTTCTCGCCCTCTGTTTCCACATCTGGCCTGGCAACGCTTGTCTTCCTGCGCTTTGCTCCTCTGGCTCCTAAATATGTTAGGTCACTCTTGACTTTGAACTACCTCTTTTAAAAAAAGCAACCCTGTTTCTCTAGTCACCTAAAGCAATGTTACCTGAGCCCCCATGTCCGCTGCCACCTTTGTGAGAAATGCACGTGGGCAGAGACGTCCACAGGAAAGGCCCTTCAGGACTGAGTTTCTGCGTTTCCCTGCGAGTCTGACTCCTGACCTGCCCCTTGCTGGCCCCCACCTGCCCCCTCTTGGCGTTCCCCTATCCTCCACTCTCCCTGCACCAGGAGGAGGCTGCCCACAGACCAGCAGGGCCAACCCTGGCTCCAGTCCCCTCCCCTGGCCTTGGCCTTGCTCCAGGGCTCCGTGGTGGCACATGGTCAGCAGCTGCCTCTCATCCTCTGGATTGAAGCCCTGGAGCTCTGTAACAGCCTGTACCGCATTGGCCAGAGCAAGGTCTTCTTCCAGGCCGGCATGCTGGCCCACCTGGAGGAGGAGCGGGACATGAAGAACATGGACATCATCATCGGCTTCCAGAACTGCTGCAGGGGCTACCTGGCCAGGGAGTGAGTCCCGGAACACCCACACCTTGCTCGTGACCCCCCAGTTCTCCTGCAGTGGAGGGCACTGAGGAAGCAGGGCCTGGGCGCCCTCATGGCAGGACGTGTCCCCCGGGGAGACCCATGTAGCTTTCCCTGCCTCCTGCTTCCTGGATTTCTGCCAGAGGTTTAAAGTGAGCAGGAGGGAGCGGTGACTGTGCTCAGATTTTCCTTCCAGGA